TATACGAGACATAAGCGTGCTTGAAGGTCGACTCACGTTTCAAGATGAACATCTCCGTGGGATTCCAACTTTCCAGCTGATTCAATTGCTGAATTGAAAGATTAGGATGTTCCAAATCTAGTGTATCCGCACGCATGTGAGACATAAGAAGTTTCGGAGATGGTTGATATATAACTCAGGGTGGGTACCTAGTCGACAACATACTCATGAGATTCAACTCTCCCGGTTTCTGATTTTCACAAGAAAAAGGTGCTGACAACTTTGCTATACACAATTTATTTGTCCGAAGACAAGACAGTACATAAAAGCAGTTCTTAGAATCGTGAATTCTTGCACGCATAGGAAGAAACTTCCCTATCTTGTTGCCGAGTTGTAACGACGCCAAATTTCTCCAGTTTTTCAAATATCTGTGGGTAAAAAATAGGCGTTCGTGAAAGCCGATTTTAAATTTGCAACAGTGCATATGGGCAAGAAGTATCCTCATAAGGCTTCATCTTTTCACCTCCGACTGCCAAACTGCGATGGTGGCAACGCTTTTGCAGTTTCAGTTTTCATGCATACTTGTGTAAGCCTAGGAATACACTATAGCTGGTTCCGCGTTAGCGGAACACCACACGGAAAAGAAACATCTTCGTAAAATTCCAGTTTCCTCGCTTTTCTAGTTTACTGTGTTGAGGAACTCGCACAGATGTCCGAGCACACACAACACAAACACAGGATTTCCATGATATGAGTTTCTTTTCATTGCCTCAGTTATGTAAAACCGCATGAAAATAACTGAAAATATACAAGAAATGTGTGTCCAACTTTGCTTTGTGGACCCGCTTTTTGTTTTTCCAGAACGCATACGTTCAACGCTTAGGTACATATCCGTTGCCAGATGTTTGAATCGAAATCGCTCCATCCAAGACGCTGCTGCTCCACGGTATGCCTCTGGTTGAACGACCTGAAAATTTGTTATTTTCTAGTTCATTTTTATGCTCAAATTATATTCAAAATAAAAATGTTTCTAAGACAAATTTTTGCCGCAGCTTAAAATAATGACTTATTTTGGATCGGTATATATACGAAATCTAAAAAGCAATGATGTATTGTTCATAGAGGCCACTTAATGACTCTATAACGCTTCTTTGAAAAAAAAGTTTTTTACCTATTTGCCCACCACTTTCAATCGATTTAATGCCTTAGTTATACAGTTCACCTCATTTTCACAGTTCTCCAGCGAGTTTTATATCTGCTACTCAAAACCGCCGCCTCTTTACATCCTCTTTAGGCCATATTTTGCTCGGACCACACAATTTTCATTTCACTCAGCGTTCTTCTCGTTCTGTGGCAGTGCTTGCGCCTGCACTATCCAGCTTATAATTTCTGTAGATCTAGTAAGTACTCAATAAGTTATATGCGCATACAAACCTGTACTTCCCATAAAGCACGAGATGAAGTGGCATCGGCAGCGGACGGACGATTTGTTAAGCGCAGAAACACGACATCCTCGAATTTCACTGGCACCGAATCCAGCGTTAAGAATGTTTGCTGATCAGCATGAAAAAGGCGCACAACATCTCCCTGTAAATGCTGAGTTAATTACAATCTCAGTTACTAGAGATCACGTACTGGGCACTATAAATAAGTTAACTTAGTGAAATGACGAATTCTCATTTCAAAATTATCTCGAGAATGAACATTTGCATAGAATTTTTCGTAAGAAACATGTAAATGGGTACAAGAGAGGGAAATTTTGCTCCTCCACACAGTAATTTTTTTCCTGCAGCTTTAGTATCATCCAAAACAAGTAAGCTGCGGGTGATGCCTCAGCAACCCCACTGCCAAAATACCCGGGGAAATATTCCAGAGGAGACGACTGTTTTCAGAGGATTCTGGTATATAGTCGCTGTCGGATGTGGCTTCCCGAAAGAAGGCCGTAGGGGAATAGCTACTAATGCTTCCTGTTGAGCAGACTGCTATTCTTATTAATCGAACTAAAACGGCCCGATAAAACGCACATCTAGTAGAGAAGCAAAAAGGTGATAAGAGGAGAGTTTGCAAATCGCAGCAAGGTGCATTTTCACCTGCTGTTGTAGACACAATATACATCGACACAACCAACTAAAAAATACGTCAACGAATTCCTTGGCTTGAAAAGTATTTCACAGCATTATTCGTTGAAAGCTTATCAACAGAACGACTTACGGATTTTAAGATGTTGTTGTGGTTCTCATCAAACTGCAAAAACATAAAAACCTGCCACTCAGTCAATTCGTTCAAGCAGTTTACTTCGAATCCAGCTTGATAATCTGGCAACCTGAAAAGATAGCAACAGCATCTGAAAATCGACTAGTTTTGTCAAGCTTATAACTTGTTGGATTTAGGATAAGCCTACGATGCCTGATATTTTAAAAAGCAGAGGAAAGAAAAACAAAGTTCCATAAGAAATGTCGAAACTGAAAAAAAAAGTAACAGTGCGTCAAAGTGCGAGAAACCGTTTTTGTCAAAAATTTTGGATCTAAAAAATATGCAGTGTCTTGCAGGGGAACGTAAATACCTCATATGTGACAAATGTAATTGAGGTTTGATGTGCCCTGATGTGGTCGATGTTGGACTATATGAATACGGCACTAAACTGATTCGATCACCAGCATTCACCTGAAAAATCATATTTGACGTAGAAATTCAACTGACAAAAAAGAGGGAAGAAAGAGAAAAAGAGCATGACTCACATTGTCACCAAGGAAAGAATGCTTGTAAACTGGCTCTACGTAAAACCAGGATCCCTCGTTGCCGTTCTTATCCAGATATACTTTCATCGCGTTACGCTCCAGCCTGGCAGGTGAATTCTTCAACACGGTTAGATATTTATCCGATTTGACGTGCAATAGCTATAATAAATCATCACCGGATCATTGGTAAAGGTGTTCAATAGACACTATTTCTTTAACAAATCTGGAAAAATCACTTTTCCAACTACTACATTCACTCAGCTCAGCTCCCTTGCACAGCTGCACTCCGGAAATAAGAAAGCACTCGTCTGCAGCTCAAACTGATAACACTGGATTGATAGCTAATTCTTCTGGCACATTTGCAAAAGCCATTCATAGATTGAAAAACAACTGTATAACGAAGACGGCCTGGGAACTCTATCGCATATTAGTGGTGCTAAAATCTCACGGTGGTTCTATGAGATATTACGCAAATATGAGATACGGTGGTTCTATGAGATATTTTGGAATTTTCTCAGTATATCGTAAACAAGGTTTGACTACGTGGTTAAAAAGAACAGCTGAAAGGCCTTCGGCGTACTGGGCCAGTCTGCTGACTCTAGCGTCAGTGTGCTACGAATGCGGAGAGCTCAAGATCAAAGTCGATGGCGTGGCTGTCGGCTACATCATTGGAGCGCGTTCTGTAACGAGACAGTAGCCGATTCAAGCGTTCAAGGAAGTGCATGTCGTGGAGAGAGGGGGGAAAGTAGTTCCTAGTAAGGGTGACCTGAACAGTGCCGCCGTACTGCACATTGACACCGAGCATTTTTTGATACTCCATGTCATTTTGTTCTTTTTCCTTGTCCGCCGCATGTTTCAGCTTATTCAGCATATCTTCTTCAAAAAGTGATTCGCCTGCTTGATACTTCTTCTGCTCTGCCCAGTACTGCTTTTGCGCGGCATATCGATTGACTGGACAGATCCGAAACAAGCAGTCTGAAATTCCATCAGCCCTGGATGCTGCATTCGCGACGCATCAGAACAGACTAGGTGAAATTTGTTGAAATATGGAAAAATTTCCCCATTTTAATCAATTTCTCGAGGAAAATTTAGATAATTATAATTGTTTTTCAAATAATTTTTTCTAAAGTATAGGCAGTGAAAAAAATAAGAAAGTTGTATCGCAGTTTTCTGTGAAAGAACGAAGAAAACTCCAGGAATACACCAGCAGGATGATCGCCAGAAGTTGAAGTTTCGGCTATTGCAACCGTGCAGATACTACCGTCTGCTCTCTTGGAACAAAATTGCGCTAAGACAATCAAAGCATAACAGTTTTAAAAATATTCATTTTACCTTCCCATCACTGACTATTGATGATTCACTTTATTTCTAAAACAGCAGCAAGCAGCTGGGAATTAAAGTCCAAAAAAAGTGCAGAAACTAAATCATCTCTAAAGTTCAATACGTGCAGTCTCTTTTCAAGTCCATTTCTCAATGGCTTAAAAAACGCAGTGGTACGAAGAACTTTTCGTGATGGCATCATTGTATATTATCCTGAACATGTCGACGGATTAACATTTGCCAGTAAGCTACAATGAAGCCCTTCCTTTTCTTTATTTAAAACCCAGTCTTGAACGCACCAGGCTTGCCGGCGCGATCATGCGTTTTCGCACTAAACTCCCGGGTCGTTAATAGCAGGAATAATTCCTGCGTTGCAGCCAAACACTTGGGCTCATATTGTTCGCGCTTTGGCTTCTTCCGGCATGCAGCAGAACGGGGCATCAGTTGGGATGAGGGTGCTGCATTATAGAGCCGCATGGACCTCCAGATGCATGATTACCAGTTTATTGCATAAAGCTCGGTCGTTTTTTCTGTAAAAGCTCGCTTTTTGAAAAATGAACAAAGGCTGGAACGCACCAGGCGAGCCGGTGCGATCATGCGTTTTTGCATCAAAACT